TGGCGATGAGGTCTTAAAATGTATGGAAAGGGTCTTAGAAAAGGTCTTCAAAGGGATTACATCTGACTTCAGGATTCCTGCATATTCCCTGTGCCATGCATAATAAGATGTCCCCGTATTATCATGCAGTACCAAGAGTTCTGGAGTGTGGTTGTTGTCTGATCGGAGGAGTCAAGTTCGTGGAGTTCCTGTGCCAAAATGTTGGCGTCAGCGCCGGGACGTTCTGCATCGTCCCCAAAAACCAGTGGCCAGCCTCCAACCTGAGGGTACAAATCTGTTTTCATTTGATACTTATTTTTCCTTCATTCTGTGGGTTTAAGCTTCTTGAAAATATTTTCTCTCATCACTCGCCACCTTGACACCTACAACGTATAATCTCTGAAGCACCTTGTAACAATCGTTAGGTAAAGAAATAAGGTTTAGTGATATAAAAAGTATGTTTTTTAAAATTTGTGTTGTCTGTTCTTTCTTTTCTTCATACAGTGTCTGGCGAGAACTCACTTCTCTGAGCAGCCACCCTTTGCGATCAGCCCGTCTCTTTTCGTGCTGCAGCCAGGAGAGGTCACTGTAGTGGAGGTGAGCGTGTTCTCGGGGTATATTTACAAGAAACATACTATAATGCTTATTTAGCTGGATTAAATCCCATAGTTTGAATCAGCTGTTCTCACTAAGATGTTTATGTTTCAAATAAATCAGTGAAATGATTTAAAATCTTTAGATCTGTTTTATGTATCTATGTGTGTTTGCAGGTTGTTTTTTTCCCCACCGCTGCTGAGAAGAGCTGTGAGATGTTCACCATAGTGTGTGATAACTGTCAGGTGAAAGACATTTCCATTGAAGGTGAGTCTTTTCAGGCATCAGAAAACTATTCCAATGCAAACATTATGATTTCATGTTCGTCCAGTGTTCTGTAAAGCATGTTGACCCCTCCTCTGTCTCTGTACCGTGTGTTCCCCAGGTGAGGGCCAGCTGATTGCTCTGGAGCTTGTGTCTGTTTCTGGGAGGAAGGAGCCCCCGGTGGTGGGAGAGGTGCACGACCTCACCGCAGAGCACTTAGTCCGATTCAGCCCCTGTAACCCTCACTCTGTGCAGGAGAAGAGACTCATCATCAGGAACAACGTGTAAGCATCACACCCTCATACATCAATACTACACAACATGAAATACCAAGGTCTGATTCTCTGTAGCTCTGACCCTGTGCAACAGAACACAAGTTTCCCTTCATGGATCATTAAATATCAGATGACTTTCTCTTTCTCTCTCTGGGTCTGAAGCCACCTGGAGCTGCCCTTCCACTGGCAGACCATGAAGCCCAACCTGCACCCTCAGCTCCCGGGGGAAACTCCAGAGCCCAAACACATCCAGTTCCACCCGACCACAGACGGTGTTTTCCACGTCACCCCGATAACTGGCGTTCTTCCCCCCTGTCAGGAGCAAGAGTTTCTGTTCACCTTCTGCCCTAAAGAGGTACAGAAGACACAGAAAACATGGCAGAACACAAAAAAAGGGTTTATATCGAGAAGTTATATCAAAACGTGTCCTTTATCCTCTTACTTGACAACACAGTCTCACGGCATTTCGTGTTCACCAACACCAAATATGCGCAAATATGATCATATCACCCCCATCCTGAAATCACTACACTGGCTCCCCGTGGAATTGAGGATCGAATTCAAGGTCTCCGTCCTCACACACCAGTGTATCTATGGTACAGCCCCTCCATACCTCAAGGAACTCCTCACCCCCCTTACCTCCGTGCGGACCAACCGCTCCAGCAACTCAAACCTCCTCAAACCCCCGAGGACTAAGCTCCGTACCATGGGAGACCGGGCCTTCTGCTCGGCTGCCCCCAGTCTGTGGAACGCTCTCCCCGACCACATGAGAGCATCACAGACCGTGGAGGTTTTTAAAAAAGGCCTCACAGCATTTTTCTTATTTTCGTTATTATTTTTATTTATTCTTTTTCTTATTTGTATTCTATTTTCCCACTATTATTTCATTTTTTCCCAGATCCCTTTCCGAGATAACT